AGCCCATTCTGGCTCAGAGAGACCCTACAGGACAGACGAGAACTGCCTCTTCACTTCTCTAAGACTTCACATCTTGATGGGGGCAGACAGCCTTATAGTCCTCCCACGGAGGAGGCTGTTAAGTTTGAACTACTGGTTAGGGAGGGCCTGGTAGGTGTGAACTGCTGGTTAGCAGCCCAATGGGATATCCCAGTAAGTTAATATGTCAAATGAGCAGTGTCGGTAAACCCTGGCCTCCTAGGAACCAGTCAGCATTCTGTGTCTAACTTTCTGAAGCAGGTTCCTAAAGGGTACCTTCAGAAGGGCTTTCTCGTTCAGTGTATTGTGTATTCCATTGTACACCGTGCATTGCTGATGGGCCTCTTTCTGAATGTGTTTGACATTTCTCTAGGCCAGTGGTTCTCAACCTTCCTAATGCCTCGACCCTTTAATACAGTTCCTCATGTTGTGGTGACTCTCAGTCATAAAATTATTTTCATCGCTACTTCATAACTAATTTTGCTACTGTTATGAATTGGCATGTAACTATCTGATATGCAGGATGAATTTTCATTGTTACAAATTGGACATAATTAAAGCATAGTGATTAATCACTAAAACAATATGTCATTGTATATTGTGAAATATTTATTTCTAATAACAAATAAATGAAAATTTGTCTTGTTGCATGGATACTTGTATGTGTGTGTATGTATGTATGTGTATCTGCATGTGGGCAGACCCTCCTGGAGACAGATAGAGGAACGGTGTTTCAGTTCCTAAGACCATCGGAAATATGTGTTTTCCGATGGTCTTAGGTGACCCCTGTGAAAGGGTGATTCGACTCCCAAAAGGGGTCACTACCCACAGGTTCACAACCAGTGCTCTAGGCTTTGAAAAGCCCACAATGCTTTTGTTTGTTTTTCCCTCAAGTGTCCTGAGGCTAATTAACCCATTCCTGGACTGGCGGGCTCCACTCTATGCAAATAGTCTCCTTCCTGATTCTGACATAGCAATCTTCCATGAACATCCCTAATGAAACCCTGTGGGGGTTATTGGGTCAGTGCTGCTACCGTACCAGCAGGGGGCGCACAGCACAGTTCCGTTGGAGAAACCCAAAACCAAACCCAAACAAAGCAAATTCACTGCCAAGGAGTTCATTCTGACTTGACAACAACCCTATAGGACAGAGTAGGTCTGCCCCTGTCTCTTAAAGTGAATTTCCTTTGCTAGTTGCTCAGGGGATGTGAGAATATAGGTTGTTGCCTTTCTTAAGAGTGACTCTCTAAAGATAAGCAGATCATTGTAAGCACTCTTCAAGCATCGGGTAACCAAAGGGGGCAACTTACTTTTCATGCTTCTATAATTGAATTTGAGTCTGTCATTGCTATGAGTTTAGCACACTGGATAGTCACTGATTTGCAAGTGTTATACTGTATTCTTTGTAAGAAAAATGTTGTTGTTGTTGTTGTTGTTGTTGTTGTTGTTAGAGCCCCACAATTCTTGAAAACCCTGTGCACAACACTGCCCAGCCCGGGGACATCTTCATGATTGGCTATAGGTTGGCCCATTGTAATGCATAGTACCTTTCATGGCTTTTGACTATCTGCTTGTTTGCTTACTTTTCTGAAAGTAGATCAGCAGGTCTTTCTTCCTCATCTTAGTCCAGATGCTGAAAGGACCTCGGCATCATAATAACCCACTGGCCTCCGTTGGTAGCCAGGCGGTAAGTGTGCATGAGGTGCACTGGCTGGGGAGGAAGCTTGGCTCTCCCTCACGGGGAGTGAGGGACCAGTGCTGCCTCCTGAAGATGCTATGTTACAAAACGAAGCAAGCACTGCCGTTGAGTCCATTCCAGCTCAGAGTAGTCCTCCGTGAGGTTTCTGGGACCGTAACTCTTCATGGGATCAGACAGCCGCATCTTTCTGCAGAGCAGCAGCCGGTGGGTTTCATCACTGAGCTTGCGGGCAGCAGCCCAACATCTAATCGGCAGCAGCCCCAGGGCTCCTTCAGGAAGCCTCTAGAGCAGTGGTTCTCCGTCTTCCTCCGGCCGTGACCCTTCCCGACAGTGCCTCATGTGGTGGGGACCCCCCACCATACAGTTATTTTCATTGCTGCTTCATCACTGTCATTTTGCTACTGTTATAAATCAAGTGACCCCTGTGAAAGGGTCATTCAACCCGCAAAGGGGTCGCGACCCACAGGTTGAGAACCACTGCTCTACAGAATGACGTTATTTGGGGTTTACAGAAGTCTTAGGTCAGGAGTTAAATAGCTGTCATTACTCTTTGAACAGAGAGTTCATTTCTCCAGAAGTAGCGTTTTGTTCGTTTTTATTGTCTGTTTCCATTCTGATCTCTAAAGGACCTCTCTGGTCTTGTGAGAAACTGCCCAGTGGTGGTGTGTCCAGACATCACAATTCTAAACCGGCATCTTCATACAGACCTGATCAAAGTCAAATAGGATGGGAATGCAAAGGAAGTCTTCATTTGGGTTCTCATCATTAATCCAAGGAGCCCTGGTGGCATAGTGGAATATGCACTGGGCTGAAACCACCAGGTCAGTGGTTCAAATACACCAACCACACCAAATGGGGGGAGGGAAGAGGCTTTCTATTCCCATAAAGAATTGCAGTCTTGGAAAACCACAGGGCAGTTCGACCCTGTCCTACAGGGTTACTGTGACTTGGAATCAACTCTTTGGCAGTGTGTTTGGTTCTTGAGTTTGGGCCATCGTCAAGCATTGAGGGACAGTTCATAATGTTGAATCAGAACCAACAAGTGCCGTTAAATCATTGGCCAAACAACTAAAGTTTCTAATTCAGTTGGAGGAACATGTGCTATATATGAGATGTGAGATAAGGTGGTGCTGGGGGGCAGGAAGGGACTTGTGACAAGAGGCAGATGAGAATTACTTCCGTACAGACAAGGGCTGAATGCTGAAAACAGGTATCTTGTTGGGGAGGTGAAACACCATAACCAATGGCCTAGGGCCCCTGAGCCCAGTCCCCCAGCTCCTCGGGATCACACCACCTTATCCTAGCTGCTCTCTTCAGCAGCTGCTGCCCAGCTGGGTACACTCAGGCCTCTGGCTTATTCTGCTTTGCCAGGTGGGCATGGCTTGCTCCCAGGGTAGCTAACACACAGAGTTCAGTCATTACTACAAGACTGAGATGTGTGCCCACAAGAACTGGCTCCCCGGACACTGTCTATGGGTCAAGGCACGGTTTGTCTGGAAGGGGCTGACTCCTTCTTTGGAGTTAATGAGGATTAACTCTTTCCCAAGGAGAAAGAGAGGGGACCATGGGAAGAGAATGTTGGAAGACAGCTTGGAAAGGAAGAGAGGCAGGGAAGAAGGAACTATGGACTCGCCTTCAGGAGACTTCCACTGCATCCTATTATCATACTCGTCTTGTTAACCACAGACATGCTTGTTTTTTAACTGACTCAGAGTTTTATTTTGGCTTTTGGTTCTCGGAGTCGCTGTTCTCGGAGTTCTTTTCAAACTTGTGTTATTTGTGGCTCTATTGAGTTAGCACTGTATGGTCTGTGTGTGTGTGTGATGCAATGCATGTGTATTGTATATGCACCGTGTGTGTGGTGTGTATGAATTCTGGGTGATGCAATGTGTATGTGGTGGGTGTGTTATATAGGCAGGGTGTGGGCTGTATAATCAATGTGTGTCTTGTATATGTGTTGTGTGGAGTCTATGTGACTCAGTATATGTGTGCGAGGTGTTTACTATATGAAGGGTATGTGTTGTATGTTTATAGGGTGAGATGTATATTACATATATGGTGTGTGTATTATATATGTATTCTGTTGTGTTTTGTCCATGTGATGCAGTGTCTGGTATGTATATAATATTTGCGTGGTATGTGTGACCTATGTGATGTCTGCATAGTGTATATTATATGTGTGGGGTATGTATGCAGTTTGTGAGATATGTGGTGTGTATGCAGTAAATAGTATGTAGTGTGTATTGTGTTATGTGTGATATATGTGATCTGTGTGTGGTATGTGTGCAGTGTGTTTAGTGTGGTGTGTGCATGGGGGTGTATTTGCTGTATATGTGGTATGTATACAGTGTGTCTAGTGTAGTGGAGTGTGTTATGTGGCGTGTGTGTTGTGTGGATGCAGTGTGTGTAATGCAGTGTGTTTATGATCTATGTGGTGTGTGTGCTATGTATTCAGTGACTGTAGTACATGTATATGCAGTGGACTTGCTGTGTATGTAGTGTGTATGCAGTTTGTGTGTGTGTTTGTATATGTGGTGTTCATATAGTGCAGTATCTGGCATATGTGGTACAGGTATATGTGTGTTGTATACATGCTGTCTGTGGGATGTGTGTGTGCTATGGTGTTTGTGGTGTACTGCAGGGGGGGGGTATAGCATAGTGTGTGTGGTTTGTGTGTGTGTGTACATGCATACAGAGGGAAGAGGGAGTCTATAGATGAGTGCAGACCCAGGGTGTCACAGCACCTGTGCATAGTTAAGGAGGAGGAAGTAAAGAGCAGAGACTGCCCAGGCCTCCCACCTCCTGGCCACCCTGCCCTGGACCACCACCTTGCCCTGTGGGCCTCCTTGGGCTTCCTCGTGGGGCAGGGAGAGACCTGGTACCAGCATTCCTGAAAAGGATACTGAAGAAATGCAGGGCCTACTCTTGAGGAAGACCAGAAAGGAGGGCAGCAGGCTTTGAGAAGTGCTCGCTGCAGAACAGTCAGGTGTGGAGGTCGTGCGTACCCAGTGCCCCAGCAGTTCTCCCAAGGGGCCAGCTCCGTGCAGCCTGCCCCATGGTCATACCCGCTCTGCCGCGTTGGGGATCACCGTGGAACCTCGCACCTGCTCTTAAACTCATGACGATGATGTTTTTAAGTATTGAGATTGTACGTGTATATTCAAAAGCTTCCCATGGCCATCGAGTTGGTGCTGATCGCTTTAACCCATCCCCCTTCCCTCTCCTCCTCCCTTCCCCGCCCCTCCCCCCTCTGTCCGGGCCCTCTCTCTTTGCCCAGAATCCCGAGACGCTGCTGGCGGAGTGCACCCACGGGGAGATGATTCCTCATGAAGAGCCTGGATCCCCCACAGACATCAAATGTGACTTTCCGTTTATCAGACTGAAGCCGGAGCCCGCCAGCCAGTGAGACAGCCACCGTGGAGGGGGGACGGCGAAAGATGAAATCCAACCAGGAGCGGAGCAATGAATGCCTACCTCCCAAGAAACGCGAGATCCCCGCCACCAGCCGGCCCTCGGAGGAGAAGTCCCCGGTGCTGCCCACCGACAACCACCGGGCAGAGGGCCTGGCTTGGCTCTCCAGCCACCCAGGAGGCCACGGCGGGGGCGGTGGCCGACACGGGCCAGCGGGGACCTCGGGGGAGCAGGGTTTACAGCAGGGAATAGGTTTACACAAATCGTTGTCCACAGGGCTGGACTACTCCCCGCCCAGCGCCCCTCGCTCAGTCCCGGCTACCACCACGCTCCCCACGGTGTACCCGCCCCCGCCATCAGGGACGCCCGTCTCCCCAGTGCAGTACGCCCACCTACCCCACACCTTCCAGTTCATTGGGTCCTCCCAGTACAGCGGGCCCTACGCCGGCTTCATCCCCACCAGTGCGGTGGCCTCGGCCGCCATGGCCACCACTCCATCCCAGCGCTCCCAGCTGGAGGCCTATTCCACGCTGCTGGCCAACATGGGCAGCCTGAGCCAGGCCTCGGGGCACAGAGTGGAGCCGCCGCCCCCACCGCCCCCACAGCAGCACTTGGGCAGGACTCCAGGGCTCCTGAGCGCAGGGTCCCCTCCACCGGCCCCGCAGAACCAGTACATCCACATTTCCAGCTCCCCGCAGAGCTCGGGGCGCACGGCCTCGCCACCCGCCCTCCCCCTCCACCTGCACCCCCACCAGACGATGATCCCGCACACGCTCACCCTGGGGCCCTCCTCTCAGGTGGTCTTGCAGTACTCGGATGCCGGCAGCCACTACGTCCCTCGGGAGTCCAAGAAGGCGGAGAGCAGCCGGCTGCAGCAGGCCCTGCAGGCCAAAGAAATTCTCAATGGAGAGATGGAGAAGAGCCGGCGGTATGGGGGCCCCTCCTCGGCCGACCTGGGGCTGCTGAAGGCCGGCGGGAAGGCGTCGGCCCACCCCTATGAGTCCAGGCATATGATGGTCCACCCGAGCCCCACCGACTACAGCACTCGGGACGTGTCCGGGGTCCGGGCCTCTGTGATGGTCCTGCCCAACAGTAGCACGCCCGCCTCGGATCTGGAGGTGCAGCAGGTCACCCACCGGGAGGCGTCCCCCTCCACCCTCAACGACAAGAGTGGCCTGCACTTAGGGAAGGCCGGCCACAGGTCCTATGCACTGTCTCCGCAGCAGGCGCTGGGCCCCGAGGGCGTGAAGGCCGCTGTCGCCACCCTGTCCCCCCACACGGTCATCCAGACAACGCACAACGCCTCCGAGCCACTCCCCGTGGGGCTGCCGGCCACAGCCTTCTATGCTGGGACCCAGCCCCCGGTCATCGGCTACCTGAGCAGCCAGCAGCAAGCGATCACCTACGCCGGCAGCCTGCCCCAGCACCTGGTGATCCCCGGCACCCAGCCCCTGCTCATCCCCGTCGGCAGCGCGGACATGGACTCATCCGGGGCTGCCTCCGCCATCGTCACATCGTCACCCCAGTTCGCTGCAGTGCCTCACGCCTTCGTCACCACCGCCATTCCCAAAAGCGAGAACTTCAACCCCGAGGCCCTGGCGGCGCCCACCGCCTACCCGGCCATGGTGCAGGCCCAGATCCACCTGCCAGTGGTGCAGTCGGTCGCCTCGCCGTCGGCGGCACCCCCGACACTGCCCCCCTACTTCATGAAAGGCTCCATCATCCAGCTGGCCAACGGGGAGCTCAAGAAGGTAGAGGACCTGAAGACGGAAGACTTCATCCAGAGCGCCGAGATCAGCAACGACCTGAAAATCGACTCCAGCACCGTCGAGAGGATCGAAGACGGCCACAGCCAGGGCGTGGCTGTCATCCAGTTTGCCGTGGGCGAGCACCGAGCGCAGGTAACTGCACCCACGACACCTTCCTCCTGGAGTCCTCCCTCTCTCGGTGTGCGGCAGGTACAGCCAGGGTCGGGGATTCACCAATCCCGTATAGCCCACGGCTAACCGACCCTAAGGCGCCTCCATGTGTGTCAGGGTAGGACGTGCTCCCCTGGGTTTTCAGTGGCTGATTTCTCAGAAGTCGATCTCTAGGCCTTTCTCCCAAGGTGCCTCTGGGTGGACAGGAAGCTCCTGTGAGCAGCCCTGTGCCTTTTTAACCAATTGCACCACGGAGAGGGGGGGAGGCTGGCTTTGTGAGGGGGGAAGGGTTCTCATTTATACCTCAGCCTGAGATTCAGTCGTTCCGGACTGAGAGCATTCTGCTCAGTGCCCCAAGGCATCCAGTGTTCGCCATCACAAATTCTGTGCGCAGGGGAGAGGCTGTCACGTGCCCCCTGGGGGATGACTGAGAAACACCCTCCCTCCAAGTGTCCCTTGTGTCCTGTGCTTCAGAAGAAGACGCTCCGTGGAGGAAAGCTGTCCTGTCCTGTCGCTTGCCCGGCAGACCTCCTGGGTTTGTGCTCAATGGGATTGCCAGAGATCAGGTGGCAGCTAGGCCCAGTCAGGTCAGGAACCAGAAATAATGATCGGCCAGTTGTCAAGGCTGTTCCACCTCTCGGCAACCCCACGCCCACCGCCGAGAGGACCCCAGGGCTCCGTCAAGTTCGCCGTGGCTGCTTGTTCGGAAGCAGATTGGCAGGTCTTTCTTCTGAGGTGCTTCCCAGTAGAGCATGAACCTCTACCTTCTAAGGACTGCTGAAGCATAATTTGCCATCTCGATTTCTATGCAAAGATGGGACTTTCTACTCCTGTAGAGAGTGACAGTCTCAGAAAGTCTACAGGGCCACAGAGAGTCAGCATGGACTCAGTGGCGATGAGTTTGGGTTGGAGTTTGAATTGCCACAGGCTCCTCAAGCTGCCTTTCCAACCTCGTGCCTCACTTGAATACATTTATTCCATCGTCCCTTTCTATGAAAAGAGCCCGGGTAGCACTCAGTCATTAACCAAAAGGCTGGTGGTTCAAAACCCACTCCTGGGCTTCCATGAAGATTACAGCAGAGAAACCCCCAGTGAGGGGTTGGCGGGGGACAGTGCCAGTCTGTCACCTGGGGTCACTTTGTGTTGGAATCGACTAGAAGGTACCCACAACCACAACAATATTTCTCTCAAATGGTGGCTTCACAGCGCAGGTGGTCTGAATTTGAGTAGGCTTGCAGGTCCCCACTTACCCCCATGGGCAACTTCCCACCTATCAGGCCTCTCCTGCTCTCGGACTATCCCAGAAAGGGCTTTGAAGCCCTGCAATTTGGGTTTCGGTTGAAGCATGGTTGTGGCTGGGATTTGGGGACACTCAGAGAAAGGAACACAAGCGAAAACAGACAAGCTGGTTAGCGGTTTGAATTCTTATGCACTCAAGAGGGGACACCAGCTGTCCCCATGTTTTCCAGAAGTGTTTGTGAATGGCCAGATGTGGTGGCTGGCTTAAGCTCCCGAGGGCTTTTTCCTTTTTTAGAGCAAGATGTCATTTTCGGCCTCTAGTCCTCGGGAAGATCCAAAAGAGATCGCTCCAAGTTCTGAGTCTACAATAAAAGAGGAAGAAACAGAAGAATGCATCCAAACTAGTAGCTTTATGCCTTTTTTGTTTTAATGACATAATTCTCTAGAACTCAGCACCAATCTCTAGTGTCTGCCCACTGACAGCCACCATCCTACGTGGTTTAGGAGAGCCCAGCATTTTGAACCCACCAGCCGCCCGTCCCAAATAGAGCCACGGTCTCAGGAACCAATGGGGCCAGTTCTGCTTTGTCCTACAGGGTCACTAGGACTTGGAATTGGTGTGATGGCAGTTGAGTCTGAGGTTTTTTTGTGTTTTTTTTTTTTTAAGGTATGGACATTGGTTCTCGTGTAAAATATGACTGGTTTCTTCCCAGTACAGTACCTGTTTAAAACTCAGGTTGAAGACCGCTCCCTCTAGCTGCTGACTGACTGCAGCCCACCCAAGGGGCTTCACTGTAACCTGGCACTTCAGGGGGGGAGGCATATGTGCCCCCTGCTCCGGGCTTCCCAAAATGACAGAGTAGTGGGCTCCCATTGGCAGTTCTTTCCTGGAGCCTGACCCCTCGTCTCATTGCCAGCAGCTGAGGTGCCAATTAAAAGGCAGAATATTTGTCTAGAGTGTTGGCAGAGCTGCCAGGGCAGCTTGTGCTGGCTGGCTGCTGACGGGCAGGACTTCTGCCCAGGCAGGCAGGAGGGCTGAGGTCTGCCCCAGGGCGGCTTAGATTTCAAGCCCTAGAAGCAAAAGTGTAAGGGCATGAGTAACCAATAGTGTGTGCCCTTCCAGAGCAGCCTATCAGAGATGAGCTGACATCATCACCACTAAAATACTCCACCAGCTGTGTCTGCCACCAGTGACAGGCCCAAGTAGGTGGAGTGGGAAAGAGGGAGAGGGAGAGAAAGAGAGAGAGAGAGAAGGAAGATTTGGATTACATGTAGGTCCCCAAGGCCTAGACTATCCTGGTCTGAAATAGCAGCCCACATCTTCCCAACATTAGAGATCACTTAACGCTTCCCTGGACCTACAGGAAATGTTGAGAGATGTAACAGTGGTCCAGCTTCACCGACAATCTCCAAATCTGGTTGGGGAAGATGGGGAAGAAGGTATGGTTCCTTCACCTGGCTTCAGGACCCCAGAGGCCAGTCTTCCCTGAGAGGAGCAGGCTGCTTGGCCTCCATAACACCTCCCATCATCCTTTGCAGGGAGAAGCCAGGCCAAACCAGGACACTGGCGCTGGGCTTTCTCTGTTGCTAAGCACCTGGAGACAAGTTCTGTCATTCGTTTTCCCACCCCATAACACAGACACATTAGTCCTTGTGCAAGGCAATCCCCTGGGCCATCTCAGATTTTCAGACTCTGCTGCCCTGCCTCCCAATGCTCTTATCAACGCAACAAGAACCCAAAAGGGAGCAGATGCGGATCCTAACGTGGGTCTTCCCCAGCCTGTGTACAACCAAGGGTGTGTATGCTCTTTTATTTTGGTGCCGGATGTGTAAGGAACTGAATCCCTAATTATCCTTGTGGAGAGATGCCTTGAAACACTGCCTCCAGCTGAAGCTCCAGACGCTGGGGTATAGCGGAAAAATACGTTCACACGTTCACCACCATCTCTGTGGTCTTGCCAAACCCAGCACACTGTGGGGCACACAGGAAGAGTGAGTGTGTGCCCCAGCCCACCACCCGCCTGTTATGGGTCAACTGGAGGGAAGACCTCAGCCATGTCTTCCCTCACTGCCTGTGTGCCCCACACAAAGCCTTCAAACGGCACTGCCGCCTCCTTCCTCTCTGCTGGAGGACACGGCACATTTTGCCCCTGGTGGGCAGGAACCCCTGCCTTCCTCTGCCTAGGGAACTTGGGTTGGGAGCCCCCAAACAGAGGAACAACCTGCTCGTTTGGGGACTTTCACCCAAATTGAATCCACTTGACACTTGTCAAGAATCCCTAGATCAACGCACACGGCTGCTAAATGAAAGGTTGGAAGTTCAAGTGCACCCAGAGGCACCGCGGAAGAAAAGCCTGGTGATCCACTGTCAACAGATCACAGCCATGAAAGCCCGGTGGAGCACAGTTCTATTCTGGTGCCAAGCTGCACTGATGGCTGGGGACATAGTCACCAAGTTTAAGGTCATAAACTTGAGGGGACCTCAAGGCACCGGAGGACCTGGCATCTCCACCCTGTAAAAAGCAGCTGAGCATGGAGGAAAAATGCAGGGTCGGGAGTCTGGGTCCATCCTTTCCCGGCTGGTCGCCTATGACTCCTGCACACTGTTTGCCATCTCCAGCGAACAATCCAATAATCTACAAAGGCAGATACCTGCACTTTGTCCTCAGAGCCCTGGTGGCATCGTTGTTATGTGTTGGGCTGCTAACCACAAGGTCTGAAGTTCAAAACCACCAGTTGCTGTTCGAGAGAACGTCCTCCCGTACAGAGTCTCAGTCTCAGAAACACACAGGGGCCGTCCTACTCCGTCCTATTGGATCACAACCCCGTCAGAAGTGATTTTATGGCAGTGAGCTTAACACTGGGTCCCTGGTGATGGGCTATAGTACCAAAGTTTTTAATTTATTAAAAGATGAAATGTCTGTTGAGTTGGAGCTAGCATTTTGAAAAATTGGAAATATTGTGAGAATGACCAAAATCTGGCACAGAGCCACACAGTGAGCACTTGCTGTCGGGGAAGTAACATTGGTAGACTTGCTCTTATGCGGGGCTGCCACACACCTCCAACTTGTAAAACACACGCACACATGCACACTGTGAACAGCGCTGTACATGAAGTATGCCTGTAGTTGGTTCACACAGCCCGTAGCTCTCCAGACCGACTTCTCGTCCATAGCAGCCACCATTTGCAGTTCCTCCCGGCCTTCCCATGACTTGACAGCTCTTGTCCTCTTACTGCTACCGGGTCTGTTGGCAGAGCCCTGGTGGCACTGGTGCTGGGCTGCAGCTTGCACCCACCAACTGCTCCACAGGAAAAGGATGAGGCTTTCCACTTCTGTACAGAGCTCCAGTCTTGGAGAGCCACTGGGGAAGTTTTCCCCTGCCCTAAAGAGCACTAGGAGTCACAGTAGACTTGGTGGCAATGGGTTTGACATTGGGGGAGGAAGCGCAGAGGAGCTTTGCTGAGCAGCACAGAGCTGTGAGGTCAGAACTGCCCTCCTGCTCCGTGGTGGCCCGGTGAGCAGCCTGCCAACGCTACCTTCCCACCAGGCAGGGAGACGCAGCTAGGACAGAGAGCCCAGCTTTCTGCTGGAAGCTGTGTTCAGAGGTGCCACGGCCCAGGGGGCATGGGGTTTACTGAACAACCTGCAATACTTCCACCCCAGACTGAGTCAGGCCTTGCATGCTTGTGACTAAATGTTTTCAATAGAAGACTCAGATCTTACACTCGACAGAAGAATTTT